TGTCAAAGCTCTCCAGCTGCCTCTGCACGGTGCTGCTGATGCTGCGGCGGTAGCTACGGTTCAGCCAGTTTCCCACGACACCCAGGCCGTAGTGCCGCTTCTTCCGGTCAAACGCAAAGTGCTTTACTTTGGAGGCAATGCGCTTGCCCCGCTGGGTGCCAGGAACCGGGGTTCGACTGCTGTACTCTTTCCTGGTGGTAACAAAGGCTTTCAGTCTGAGAACCCTCCCGGGGCTTAACAGGGGTCAGATCCCGGCAGAGGACAGGGCAGGGCATTGGAGAGTCCCCACCCTGTACTCACAGAGGGATTTGCACCCCATCAGGGGAGACTGGGGAGGCGGAGTGTGGGACCCCTCGGAAGTTACTAGCAGAGAGTGGAGGAGACTCAAATACGTCATCGTGCATGGAACTCATTTCTTCCTGGAGTAGGGGGGCATCAAAGACAGGGTAAGTAAGAAGTCAGTGTCCTAAGTACCAACCCCCAGCACATCACTCAAGGACAAGACAGAGCTATGCAGTCTCTTCAGGATGGAAGGGGAAGCCACATGCTTGTCAGCCCTGGACTGAATTTCCCAGTGGGTTCATCTCCCACTCTGCAGCCCCCTCCACGGGAGCCCAGACCAATGGCCCACAGAGGACACACCCCATCCCGCCTCTGGACATTTCAGAGATCCTGGCAGGACACAGTCAAGGCCAAGGTTACTTCTCCCAGTTCCCAGGCCTCCCCAGCCCCTGCCCAGAGTCCACACCCCATGCTTGCCTTACTAAAAAAGGAGGAGTCGAAGGTGTCCGCTCCATCGACAGCATCCTCCTCCAGGAAGCTGGGGTAGGCAAAGCTGCGTTTCACATTCCGGCACCGCTGCCCTGTGGCATCTAGCACTGAGCGCCCCTGGGTGCAGGACAGAAGCATTATCATCAGTTATCAAGACCCAGAACCCAGGACCAAAGGGGCAGCGTGCAGGTTGACAGAGGCATGTTAAGCGGGTAGGCTGAAGGAACTGGTCGGAGCCGATGGCCAGGATGCGGCTCCAGCTGCTGCTGGCCTTACACAGCCTCTCTTTCCAAGGTTTGGGACCAGCTTTTCCCTCGCGACCTCCTGCCTGCTGACCTGAACAGCTGGTGCTCCAACACTCAAGACATTAATATTCACATTCATATTCTATACCATATTCATATTCACATTCATATTCTATACCATCAAGTCCGGGGCTATGTCCCCTCCCTGCTGCCTCTTGGCCCAGCACACCTGGCCCTCACCCACTGGTCTGATCCTTCATCCCCTGCCATTCCTCCTCTAACTGTAGCAAGAGGCTTCCTAAAACAGAGGGGCGGTGAGGGTCTTGCAGGGCACTGGGGCCTAAAGGACACAGGTATCTCTGGTTTTCAGGGTATGTATGTGAGCTTAGTGCCTGCCATGGATGAGGACACACATCCTTCAGTGTGGGCCTCACCTTGAGGAGGGCAGCGGCTGCCTGAAAGCTCATATGGGCAACGGATATCCTTTTGCGGCGGGGCAGATGGGAGTAGCCAGAGCGGACGCTGGTGAAGGACGTGAGGGACAGGACCCCCGGAGTCAGAGGTGGATGGGGAGCGTGAGGCCGGTCCACCTCATCTGGGTGGCGGAAGGCCCGGCCCCGGGCCAGGGGATCCACAATCTGCAAGAGACAGTGGGTGAGTGGAGCCGTCCAGGCCCTGGGAGAGCTGCTCACGGCCCCTCATTTCCAGGAAGTCCACCTTGGGCATCTTGCAGGGTTTTGGAGACTCAGTGCCCTGGAAGGAGGGCACCTCCTGGCTGGGCAGCTCCAGTTCTCTCTGGCACGAGGCCTTGAGCCGGCCATAGTGCACGCTGCAGTGGTGCAGACTGCGACGCTGCCAGTTTTGTCGCTTGCCTTCCCAGTCGCCACTGACCCCGAACCACTGGGCTGTGCCCCTGGAAAAGAGACACAGTGTGGGTGGAAAGCCATGCACGCTTCCTTCCAGGGAGGGGAGTATGTGAGGGGTCCTGGTATACATGTATGTGCAGGGGATGTGGGGGGTGATGGTGCATGCGTGCACAGCGGGAGGTGGGGGTGATGGTGCATGTATACACAGGGAAACGGGGTGATTGTACATGTGTGCACAGGGGAGGTGATGATTGTACATGTGTGCACAGGGGAGGTGACGATTGTACACATGTGCACAGGGGAGGTGACGATTGTACACGTGTGCACAGGGGAGGTGATGATTGA